TAACTTAATAGGTGAATCTGGCCAAGCTGTCATGGGATTAAAGGGAAGAAAGGCAGGCTGACTGGAGTAATTATAGTTGTCACAGCATGACATGGCAACAGTGCTTCAGTGACTTTTAAAAGTAGGGAATGAATGAAGACATGATGAGAATGGGAATCCTAGGGTGTCTAATGGACCCTATATCTTAATGTAGACCTTAGCCAACGATGAAGATGTCAACATAGTGAAGCTTAGTGACTGACTGAAGCCTTACTATCCCATAGGGAGGAAGTGCCTGGGCAGGATTACTGTCTTTTGTTATAGAATTTTAAGATTCATTTATTTAACAGGTGTTTATTAAAAATAGTTACAGGGCTGGAGAGATGGCTCAGCAGTTAAGAACACTGACTGTTTTTCCAGAAGACCCAGGCTCGATTCCTAGCACCCATATGGCAGCAAACAACTGTCCGTAACTCCAGTTTCAGGGGATCTGACAGCCTCTTCTGTCCTCCACGGGTGGGTGCACTTACCTACATACAGGCAATACATGCATACACATAAAATAAAAATAATAAATAAAATATTTTTTTAAAAGCCGTAGCAGTACTGTGCAAGCCTGTAGGCCTTAAATATTAGGTATCTGACTCCTGAGTCAGTTTGACAATTACTTAAATTACATTATCATTAACATTAACATTCTTCCAAAAGTCAAAACTGTACCAAAAAGTTGTAAGTAGAAAAGTATGTTCATTTTATTTATTTTTTTAAAAATATTTTATTTTTATTTTTGTGTATGAGTGTATTGCCTGCATGTATGTGAGTGCACCCGTGTCGTGCAATGCCTTGGAGGTCAGAAGAGGGCTTCAGATTCCCCTGGAACTGGAGTTAAGGACGGTTCTGGTTCGTAGCCACCATGTGGGTGCTGGGCAACGAACCCGGGTCCTCTGCAAGAGCAGTCAGTGCTCTTAACTGCTGAGCCATCTTTCCAGCCCGACTTAAATTTTATTTTAAAAAATGGGTCTGGGAATAATTCAGTGGTGAAGCATATTCTTAGCAGTGTGCAAGGACTTGGTTTGATCCTTAGCACCACATTTATTTTATTTAAAAAGTACTTAGTTGTTTGAATGCATATGACCCAAAACTGAAATCTTACTTTTAAATCCTCTTGGATATGATTTTACCCTTTTTTTTTTTTTCCCCAGACAAAAGAGGTAGTTTTGTGCCCTTTTAAGAGCTTATTCGAGAGCTTGGCATGATAGCTTATTCTTACAATTCCAGCACTTGGGAGGTTGAGGCTGAGGAAAGATTGTCACAAGTTGGAAGCTACATAGTGAGACCATGTCTCTGAAAATAAAGAACAACAAAGAGTTTATTAGAGTACATCTTTTTAAGAGGGAGAAGGTCTTTATGGAGGAATTTGCCTAGAATTAATTTTCTGTTTTTGGTTTGTTTGTTTTTTTTTTTTTTAAATCTGGTCTTTTGTCTATTGATAGTCTTCTTTTTATAAAAATAGAGGGCTGAAGAGATGGTTCAGCAGTTAAGAGTGCATACTGCTGCTCTGGAGGACCCAAATTCAGTTCCTAGCACCCATGTCAGGGGTCTCACAACCACCTATAACTGCCGCTCCATGGGTTCCAATACCTCTGGCCTCTGGGTACTAGAAGGCATGTGCTTACCAATATACAGACATACACATACACAAAATTAAGATAGTAAAAATAACCTTTAAAGAATAGACCATAAATCTATTGCAATAAGGCAAATTTGAGAATTCATACTTTTATGAGTTATGTATATGTTAGTCTCTGGAAATTATTGCTAATTAAATAATGTTAATTATTAAAATATGATAGATCAATTTAAATGTACTCTATAGCCATAAGCCTGATCAGTTCTTTAGAATTTGGAACTTATTTCCTAGAAGTCATGTTACCAATGGGTAATTCAGTTCTCAGACCCAAAAGAGCTTTTAAAAAACAGATTATTTAGCCAGGCGTGGTGGCACACGCCTTTAATCCCAACACTTGGGAGGCAGAGGCAGGCGGATCTTTGTGAGTTCAAGGCCAGCCTGGTCTACATAGTGAATTCCAGGACAGCTGGGACTACAGGGAGACCCTGTCTCAAAAACACCAAAAAAAAAAAAAAAAAAAAACCCAAAAAACAAAAAAAACATTATTTTAGGATCACATTGAGATTTTGTCCACAACTAAGCACTTTTAATAAAATTGTTTCTATGCAAAAAAAATACTAGATCATATCTTCTTTCATTTATGATATCTGGAATTGGATTTATCTGTAGACATTTAAAAATAATTCTAAGTATTGGTGTTGAGAAGTAGTAAAGATTCTTTTAGGCATTAATTAATTTAACATACAGATGAACAAAAGACAAGATACATGAAAGGTCCACAACTATAGAACCAAAGACATTTTTCTGTAGATTCAGTAACTACTCCCATTCATAAATTAATATTCCTCACTTGGGAACATAAACACTGCTCCATTTTTTATTTATATTCCTCAGCTGAGTGACTAATTTCTGTGAAAACCAATACTTAGAATTAATATTTCAGATTTACTGCTAGTGTTTCAAATGTGAATAGTAAGGCTTGCTGATAACCCCTTGGTGTAGTACCTTCATTTTCTTCAACTTTCTGTGGATATGCTCTGCACACACGTTTATAAACTAGTTACTTGGTTGGTGTTTTCTCAGAAAAGATAATTTCTGTGTTTGAAACTGATTATTAAGGATGCTATAAATCTGTCTTCTATACCAAAATTTTTTCCTGATCTTTTCTTTGAAGGAAGGCAGCATGAGAAGATTAGTTATATCATCTACTTTTTGAAAATGGTGGCAAGTTTTTTTGTGGGGGAGGGGCAGGAGTGGGAGGATTTGGCACTATCATTTTAAGGTAATTAAAAAATAAAACTTCAGTCTTTTAATATATGTGAGAAAAGGGGAAAGAGAAATTCTTTGAAATATATCATTTACTTCACAGTACAGCATTTTTTTCTTCTGATGCCCTTTTTGTCCATGTAGGTAAAGTTTATCAGTAATTGAAATTGCTTTTTGGGGTGGTATTGGAGATCAAATCCAAGGCCTTGCACATACTAGGTTACTCACTCTACCTCTGAGTTGTATCACCTGACCTTAGTTTTTGAAGTTCTAGATGAGAAAACCAGTTTTTTAAAATCTGTTATAGTATTACTTTGTTAAGACTCTTAAAAATCTTGTTTCATGCTGCCCTGCTCACAAGAGGGCAACAAACCGTTCCCTATTGAGCCTAGAATTAACAATTATCTGATGTCTGTCTTCCTAGGGTTTTAAAATATCATCCATGCTTTGTGATGTGTCTTAGGGCTTGCGTACTTCTCTCTGAGTGGGGAAAGTTCTGACAAATATCAGTCTTTGCAGAACTCCTGGCCCCTTTCCTCTTGATCAGTAGACTGTTAGCTGTTTTTCAACTCAACAGTTGCACAAGACTGCTAAATGTATTTTCTGAAGGAAAACGTCAGGGCAGGAAGAAAACCTGTGTACAAGAACATAGATACTTATATCTATAATACACACACTTCTCTTGGGATGTATTCAGTTTCTTCACTAGTTTGTTGCTTTGATAAAAATTTATTTTGCTTTAATTTTACCTATAGGAAACCATGGATTTCTAAAGAAAACTTCCACAGTTGTATTATTTTCTTACCAAGAGATTTACCTAACTTAGCAAATGATCATCATTTATCTGAAATAATTTCAGCCCAGACAACAGTAAAAATAAATTTACATCATATATATATATATATCCAAATTGTTTTCAAGACTTGAATGATTAAGGTGGTAAAAACTAGATAGGCTCAATGCATAATTCAATTACATGTCCTTTTTTAAAAATGCAAACATTCTTTTTTAGTTAGCTTCAAAGAATTGCTTGAATGGGAGGGTGAGAAATAGTGGGAAAAAAACGTTTTCCCATAGCTGGTATTTCTTTCCTAATCTAGCTCAAACCCATACCTTCTTAAATGTTTTGTGAACTGAAAATGTAATTGTGTTTAGTTATTTGTTTTTCTAGGTTTATTGTTTTCGATGTAAGGAACTTTGTCCTTCCTTAATAATTTAGACCTATTAACATTTTTTCCCCACTTGAAATAACCTTTTTCAGTTATTTAATATTTGACCAAAAGTGTTCAGGAGAGGAAAAAAAGAAGTGAAATCTATCTCAGCTATGCATCACTTTCTAAGTATGACATCCTGCAGTTCACTGTCCCTGATGATTTCTGGCCTAATATTGCTTAAAATCCAAGTTCTTTGTTCTACCTTCAAACTATATCTCTAGTAGCATCTTGCTTTTAAAATGATCTATCTAGCAAAGTACCATTTTATTGTTTTCCTTTAAACTTTAAAAAAAAAAAATTTTTTTTTTTTTAATGTGTATGAGTGTATTGCCTGCATGTATGTGAGTGCACCCATGTCGTGCAGTGCTGAGGAGGTCAGAAGAGGGCATCAGATTCCCCTGGAACTGGAGTTAAGGATGGTTTGTAGCCACCATGTGGGTTCTGGGAATCGAATCTGGGTCCTCTGCAAGAGCAGTTAGTGCTCTTAACCGCTGAGCCATGTCTCCAGCCCCTAAACTTTTATATCTTATATCATTTTGAAATTGGATAGTGTAGCCAGAAAACGAATCAAAATTTCAAAATATACGGTATAGACAGTACCTTTTTTTGTTGTTGTTGTGAATTGCCCACAAAGACAAAATCCTTAAATATTACTATGTTTCTGTCAAGATGTTCACGTAGTATGAGTGTGTCATCATTATATAGAATACGTTTATAGCTCTTTGTGGGTAAATACTCTAAAAATGTTTGACTGTTAAAAATTACTTTCCTTTGTTGTTTACAGTTAAGAAACATGATTAGTAGTTTTAATTTAAAATGAAATATATTTAGCAAAATATTACTTAAACAAAACATCTAATGAGTTAAGGATAAAAGCATTTTGCTCAACAAATTAGTGAATTAAATCATTTCATATAATATGAAATTTTAAAAGTAAAAATGTTCACCATATTATTTAAACCATAGTTGCTTTCGATTGAATAAATTTTTGGGTTTTTTTAAATGAAGAAAACATTAAAGTGGTTCAAGAAAATAAAATGGAGTGTATTTAAGAATAGAATAATTTTAATGCTTAGCATATTGAACACAAATTTTCTTTAAAACACTTAAATGTTCGTATGTTAATTTCCTTTTGGAGGTGGAGAGCAGTTTTTCCAATAGAGCACTTTTCACAGTAGAAAGAACCTGGGGGTTCTGTTCCAGTGAAGTCCAGCCAGGGCTTGCTTTCAGGCAGCTTAGATTGTAGATTCACTGTCAAATATCTTGCTTTTTAAGGTCTGCAGGTTGTGTTGAATAAAATTCTCTGTACCCTGAACTTCAGAAAACCTGGAATCACTTCTTCTAATAGACCAGTTTTTCATCTTTATTGAATTCTGAATTGTGTCTGAAGTAAAGTAGTAAACTATGGGGTCAAAGCAGCAGTTGGAAACAGCAATGCAGAGAGTGATAGGGTACATTGTCCTCACTGCTGCCACCACGGAGCAGTTAACGAAGGTCTGTGTTCTCATAAGAGAGTACAAAATAAGATTGATATTGTAAGGCACAAAGCAGAAACAAAATATGATCAAATGTACAAAAACCATTTTTAAAACCTTAGTTTTGTTCATCTTGCTTCTACTTAATGTAACAGGTTTATTTAAAGTTCTTAGCACCATACTAGAACAAGTTACATTCAAAATTAGAGGAATGAAAAAGCCCACTATTTCGATGAAAATCACAATTCTTGAAAGATAGGTTTTCCACGTGGCTTCTGGAAAGTTTTCAAAGCAGGCTTCTGAAGTACTGTTGTTACCCTGCGAGTGGGTAGACTGAAAAAAAACAGCCGGTGCACTTCCTCCCATCACAGTGAACCACACGGCAATGCAAACAATCTTTGCATTTCGCTTAGTTCGTAGAGTCTTTGACTTAAATGGGTAGACGATAGCCAGAAATCTATCTACGCTAATACACGTTAAGAAGAGAATGCTTCCGTACATGTTGGTATAAAACAGCATTACCGAAATCTTACATAATAAATCTCCAAAAGGCCAATTCCGAGTTGCAAAGTAAAAAATCCGGAACGGTAATGTGAAAACGAAAAGCAAATCTGACATTGCCAGGTTAATCATATAAGTTGTAGTTTCATTTCGCACTTTGAGGGCACAGATGAAAATGTATATAGCAACACAGTTGGATATCAACCCCAGCACAAACACCATGCTGAACATGCACCCATACAAAGTGTACTTAAAGGAGTCATCGTAAGGGCACTGGGAGCTGTTGGTGCTTACCATTATCAAGGCAGTCCACCCAGGAATCCTTTTGTCTGCAGCAGTCTCCTTTGGTAGTCAAATTGTGGTTACCTCCACAACCAATTTATTTGCAAATTATTTGGTTCTTTTGGTGATCTTATAAATATCTTCTCTGAAGTCTCCCAAGGAAACATGAAAATTGTTCCTTAAAAATTTCCAGTAGGTTCAGCAGGAAAATATTCTCATTTTCTAGTCTCCAGAAAAATCCATGAGTCCAGGATTTAGTAAACTGACAGAAAATTCAATCAAGGAAGCCGACCCATAGAACTGCAAAAGTAAAGAGAAGTTGTGTTTCAGAAGCTGTGTTTCAAGTTAGACACAACTAGTCCTCTTGTAAGCTTGTATTTCAGTAGTCAAGACATATATTCCAAAATTAAAATTGCTTTCTGCACAAGAATGTTTAAACATAAATTATTGATCTTACTTTGTCTTTCAATGCAGTTTCAGAGACTTAAACGTTCCCAGTCCGCCTTCCTCTTTTACTTCTTCTTTACTCTTTTCTTTAAACGAGTCTTTCTTCTTCTTCCCCCCCCCCCTTCCTTTTTGGTATTTCTACAGTTGATTCCAGATGTCAGTAAGCAGAGTCTTTTAAAGCTTCCCAGATAAATTCCTAAGCAAGTTAGCTCTTGCTGAATGGAGCCTTTCCTGCAGTTGCCAGCTGTATTGTGAGATGGGCTGTCTCTGAAGTGAAAAAGAAAGGCTTCCTAGATTTGTAATATGACATCACAGGAAGAAGAGGCTGGGCTTGGACAAAGGAAGGTTTCAGCCCAGTTGTTTGCAGTTTCTTTAATCTGATCAAGTGTCTGTTGGTAATATATCTAGAAGGCTTTGCAAATGGTCACTGGCTTTCCAGCTGAGCTGGACTGCTGTTAACTCTTTGTGTGGAAATACCCTTTAAGATTCTGGCAACCTCTTCAAGTTGGTTTGATTTGTTTTGGTTAGTGATAACTAAGGGGGGGGGGAATCAGTTTAAGCTTGTTTCTCTTGTTTTATTGCTTTTGTGTTTGAGACATTACCTTTTTAAAAGAAATAAAATGTATGTGTATGTATTTTTAAATTGAAATCCTTAGTGATATCAGTGTAGCATTTTAAAGAGCTACTCAGTAACTGAAGCAAGACCTTTAGCCTTTATATGTGAAAAGGGTTTGACATAGTGATTGGTAGTTCTGGCACTTTTGTCTTCTGGTTTTTTTCCTAAGTGCTTCTCAAGATTTAACTTGGTTGGTATGACTGTGAGTAGCTTTAATCCTAGGTCTCCTTAGATTTTGAAAAACAATGCTCTAACATTTCTTTTTCCTTTAAAACTAATATTTTAGAGCTGTTTCAGTTTTCATTATTCCTCTCACCAAAGAACCTTTAAACAATATATTTTAGAATGAAAG